ACCCTATGTCCATGAAAAAAGATGTCCGTGGGCTGCCACTTACTATCACATATGTAGTCACTTACTATCTGGTGGACTGTAATTCCTTTTTCACTTCATTACACATTCAATAGAGGGCCTACAACCTAACCTATACGAACAACGTACAGGTATTTTATCCTGCGTTTTGTTCAAATATTCACGTCAACATTATTCAAATAAGCCAATTTCGAGAAATCTTACAGAGTGTCAAAGAAAAATAATCAAAGAGTAATTATAGAACGGGGCAGTACACACGACACTCATTATTTACTCACCCTTTTCTTGTTATTCGCTTGTATCCTTGTGATTATGGAAGCATAATAATTGTTTGTAGCCGTAATAATGTTAATTAGTTGAGCATAGAATGTCTTTTGTGTTTTTTAACTGCCCCAGTTCTGTCGTCGATGTTGATGTTAGGGCACACATACGCATTTCTGAGTAATATCGTAATAACGTCTTATCCGTTAGTGCCGTAATAGAGTCAGTAAATAAAATTCCCCTTTTTTATAGAATAAGTGTGACAAACGAGCAGACAATACACCTGATGCTAAGTGGATGCTATGGTCCATACATATTTACAACTATACTCTCTTAAGAATCAAAATGCAGATGCGATGTTACTACTGAAGACTAGATGAAATGCCTTGTTTCCGGTCAAAAAGGTCTCCGAATGTCTACACTAACCATACGAAGCACAGGATAGGAGCATTAAACTGCTATTTTACGGTAAGATCGTGGTACTACTCCTTTCGTCCCATTCGTACCCACACACAACTATTTTGTTTATATACATGCATATATACATATTAATAATGTAGCTGCTGCAGTGTGTGTGTGTGTGAGTGTGTGTGTGTGTGTGTGTGTGTGTGTGTGTGTGTGTAAGTGTGTAAGTGTGTGCGTGCATGCGTGCGTGCGTGCGTACTTGCGTGCTTGTGTGCGTGCGTGCGTGCGTGCGTGCGTGCGTTCGTGCGTGCGTTCGTGCGTGCGTGCGTGCGTGCGTGTGTGCGGGCGTACGTGCGTGCGTGCGTACATGCGTGCGTGCGTGCGTGCGTGTGTGCGTGCATGCGTGCGTGCGTGCGTGCGTGCGTGCGTGCGTGTGTACGTGCGTGCGTGCGTGCGTACGTGTGTGTGTGTGTGTGTGTGTGTGTGTGTGTGTGTGTGTGTGTGTGGTGAAATATGTATGTTAGTTTGTGACATAATAATAAAATTTATGTGTGTCGCAACTTCAACCTATCTTCAAATTAATAAACAATGCAGAATATGAAATGGCAGATGCCAAAACCTTTGAGATACCTTTTTTTAATTTTGTCTTGGCCAAGCAAAAAGTGTCAATGCTAGAGAGAACTATTGATTATACACGCATACTGTATAATCAAAAACCGTACGTTATGGAATTATTTTATGTACCACCAACGAAAGTTGGTGGTACATAAAATAATTCCATAACTGTAGTACGTTTCTTGGGGGAACGAAGCTGCTCATTCAATGTTGTGGACGTCTGGGGCGCCAGTACATACTTCCTATAGCAGCATCATGTCAGCTACATGTTTACGATCTTGTAATGTTAAAAAGTCGTGATTGAGACAGTGGCCATGTTATTCCTATACGAGTATAGTCCTCTTATAAATACATTCCGATATTTCTACTTTTCCCTATCCTTTACTACTGAAATCCATTATTGTCCAGCAAACCCTTCAATTTAATCTATCTATCTTTCTAGTCTTTCTCTTTTTCGTTTTCCAATAAAGCCAGCCCATATAGTGACCTTCTTTGTCCCGTGCCCCGCCCATTTCCATTAAAGTTTTTTTACACTGAGATAGAATATTCATAACATTTGTTCTTTTCCTAATTTCAGTATTTCGTTTTTTATCTTTACGTTTCCGATTATGTCTTATCACTATCCTACAGAGCTCATATATAAAGAGTTGAAACACAAAGACTATTAATAGCATATCAATAAATATTAAATACTAGTTACGTAAAAGAAGGTACATTATGTAAATTACAAATATGGTACATGTACATGATAAAAGTATTGTAATTGCAACCATAGGGCGATGACCTGGTGTCCTGAAATACAGGCGTAAAGCCTAGCTTAGGCACCAGTCTCCCACAGTATAACACTAAGGTGTAATATTCTAATATTATGTACAATAATTCTGTAAATTAATATTGTAGTGAGAAAATAAATCATTTATTATAATTATTTGTGGTATTAGTAGTGTATTCTTATCTGGTTGGGCTAAATAAATATATAAAAGAAAATGATAAATATACATAAATATATATTTCATATACCAGCACAAACAAATAAGTAATACATAAATAAATAAAAGCCCAACCAGATGGAGGCCCTCGGCAGGGGAGATCAAACGGGCGAGGGTTAGGGGGAATGGGAGAGAAACCGAAGGACGATGCGGGCGGTATTGAGGAGCACCGCCTTCTGCATTTGAGCGTGGAGCGGTTCGTCACGGAGTCCCAATCGCCTCAGATGACCCGAGAGGATGACTGGGATTAGCCCATTCGCAGAGACGACTACAGGAATAATTTCGGTTGGCCGACCACCCCACATGTCGGTCACCTCGTGAGCCAGGTCCAGATATTTTGTTCGCTTATCTGTTTCGGCTTTCACGAGGTTCTCGTCATACGGAATGGTAATGTCGACCAACATCTTTGACTGTGCGCGGTCCATCAACACAATATCAAGCTTATTCGCAAGAATAGTCCTCTCTGTGATGATGGCCCGGTCCCAGTAGAGCCTAGCGCGATCATTTTCGAGCACGGCTTCCGGCAAGTACTTGTAATACGGCAATTTCCGGTCCACGAGACCATATTTCAGAGCGAGCTCCTGGTGAAGAATTCTGGCTACTAGGTTGTGCCTGTGCAGGTACTCAGAGATAGAAAGCGCCGAACAACCGGAGATTACATGCCTAAGTGATTCGCCGGGATGGCGACAAGCTCGACAGATGTCGACGGTGCCATCCTTTAGAATGTATCTCCGATAGTTGTTGGTCTTAATAACCTGATCCTGTATTGCACAGACAAAACCCTCGGTTTCCCCGAAGAGGTCACTAAAGCGTAGCTAGTAGAGGGAGGCTACTGTGTCTATGAAAGGCTCATGTAGGGCCATGTAGAATCTCCCGTGGAGCTCCATCTTCTTACATACGATCTCCCAGTCGGAAATGCTCTGCACTGCCGAGTCTTGCCATTACTTGTTGGCTAAGGATGGAGGGATAAATCCTTTATCACAAAAAAATGACGTCCTTATAGAATAGATCATCCGATTTCACCAGGAAGTAATTAAGGAGGCTGCACACTTCGCGATTATGCATGGTGAGCGCGCTCAAAAAGCCACCCCCACCATGCTTTCGTGGCAAGTACAGCCTCATTACCGACGATCTCGGATGATGCATCCTATGGGAAGTCATAGAAGTGCGGACTTTTCTATCCAGGGCGTTAAGTTCAGTCTGAGTCCACCTGAGTATGCCAAAGGTATACATGAGAACAGGCATGACCCAACCGTTATATGCGTGTGTCTTATTCACACCGGACAAAAGGCTGTTAAGCACTTTGATCAAGCGTGCATAAAACACGTCGCAAACTGACTGTTTCATACCAGTCTCATCGATACCGATGTTCTGTGACATACCCAGGTATAGATATGTTTCAGCCTCGGAAAGGGTCCTTCAACTGATGGGCATAGATAAGTCTTTTCAACATGGAGGACCGCACATTTATCCGTCCCCAGCTCCATTCCAATAGAATTGCAAAATTAACAAGTGATGTTTAATAATTACACAAGATGGGAGCGACTGGAGGCAAATAACTTGAGATCATCCGTATAAAAAGGTGGGTTTGGGTGGCTTTTCTACCTCCCTTCAGAAGCTGAAAACCCCTCCCGGAGCCCTCCAGTGAAGTAATGAGTGGGTTCAAAGAGAGGCAGAACCAGATTGGACTCAATCACCCTGGAAGATACCCCTTCTTATCCTTATGTGGCTTTCCGCAGCCATCATCCGCTCGCCCAGATGACAAAGGATCGTACCTACTGTCCCATACATTGCTCGAGGAAGTTTCTAACTGTACAGACTATCTTGTACAGCTCGAGGACTCTCTTTAGCCATGTATGGGGCACCGAGTCGAATACCTTTCTGTAGTCTACCCAGGCGGCGGAGAAGTTCCGTCGGTTGCGTTTCACCACTTTGTCATTGACCGCGTCAATGAAAAGTGGTTCCTTGGTTCCACGACCACCGCCCTGACATCCATTTTGAGCGCGCGACATCACCTGATTTGAGTCCAGTTGACGAGTGATTCTCGCGTTCAAAGTGGATGTTAGTGTCTTGTATATGGTCGGTAGACACGTGATGGAGCGGTATTTGCTCGGGTCTGTGGTATCCTGGTCTTTAGGAACCAAATGAGTGATCCCAGTAGTGAAGAGGCTCGGGAGCGACTTCTGGTTGAGAGCCTCTTGGAACTATCGGGCGAGTACAGTGTGACACACCACAAACCCCTTCAGCCAGTAGTGATGCAGCCCGTCGAGTCCCGGACTTTTCAAGTTCGGGGCCCTACGGACCGCCTCGGCTACGTCATTCGGCGTTATAATGACGGAGTCCATGGGCTCTATACTCGCACAGTGACTCGCCACAACTTCCATTCAAGAGCCCTCGCTGTGGTTTACGGGCTCTGACCACAGACCGCGCCAGAATGTTACAGTGTCGGCCTGATTCGGTGCTGGGCCCGTTCCACTTGCTATTGGTCGCTCCAATGATTCATAAAGCCTCTTCTGATAACTCTGGAAGAGACGATTCTGGTTGAACCGAGTCGACTTCTCGGTATATCGCCGAATCCGCTTTTCCCCAAGCAGCGATTCTCTGCTTCAGATCATCTATGCGTTCCGTCAGTTTTTGCTTATATCCGGCTAGGACAAACTGACATTTGTCCCAGCAATTGCCATCCTGACAGTGCGCACAATTCTTGGCCTGTTATTGCCCGATATGGAGTTTATCAGATGAGAAGCCGATGAGAGCTGTAGCCTTTGCGATACGCTTCTCAATTCTTTTTCTCCATGCTGGGATAGCGCTACTTTGGCCAGTAGCGCGTCCAGCCTTGGAAACCTTGGCGCCTATGATATGGCAGACTGCCAGCGCAGCGCCAAAAAGAATAAAGTCCGTATCGCAAAGGTCCCGGCTGGCTTCCAAATAGGTCACCAGCATTGGGTTCAGAGCCCTCACGACAGCCCGATTTCGCTTGCTTAGGGCTATGCGGGGAAGTCGTGGTTGATTTTCGAGAGGCGTACTGCGCGTTTCCATAATCTCCTCTTCCAATGTACTCCTCATTTGCCCTATTTATAGTTCCTGGGCGAATGTTCCATCATCATTTGAATCAGCCACCACTGGGGTATTCACGGCGGTATCCACGTGTGCGGGTTTTTCTGCAACTTGTGGCACCACATCTTCAGCCGTAGATGAGGGACTAGCTTCACGTAGTAGCCGTTCGAGTTTGGCGTCATCAAATATATTTGAGCGCAAGATATACCGAACGCAGTCTGCCAGGTTTTGCTCTGTGACGGTTACAGATGGCTCCAGCTCAGCAAAAAGTCGACGCATCCTTGCCCGATATGCAAAACCTCCAATTTCTCCCTCTATCGCCCTATAATACGCCCGCAATGCGTTGCTATTTATTGAGATTGTCCAACGCATGCGGCGTATTCCACCAGTGGTGGGTGCCGATTGCTGGGCCCGCGAAGACTCTGCCGTCACCAAGCCTGCTGGTGGGGATGATGGATACGAGGGGCTACTAGGTGGTCGAGCAGCACCTCGCGCTCAGCTGGCGGTTCGCATGCTGTCACGTCCAGCGCCAGCTCCAGACGCACCCCGGCGACCCCCAGGCAGCGGCCCTTTGCGCGTTCTATCAAATTCCATCATCCATTTTAATGGGCGTCATTCAACGGGAGACGCCCAGACCCGGCGCCGTTTCATGGTGAGGCCATGTGCACAAGCGGCCTTTGCACTTTCAACTTATGCCGAGGCACGGCACTAACACCTCTTGGCAAGGTTCTGACTGACTGCGCTCACGTAGTGGTTTTGTCACGTAACCGTTACGTCAGCGGGCGATGGGTTCGTCACTTCCCTACGCCTATAAATATATATATTATTATTATTATTCTTAAGTAGTATCATTCCATAGTTATATGGCATGTTTCAATTTTTTTGTAAGTGTTATATATATATATATATATATATATATATATATATATATATATATATATATATATATATATATATATATACACATCATCACCAGCTGATTAGTGACCACCAATACAGTTTCCGTCGTGGTCGATCAGCTGGTGATCTTTTGGTCTACCTGAATCATTAAATAAGCGGAGGCAGTAGATTCCAAGTGGGAGGCATTGGCCGTTAGTTTGGACTTCGTTGGAGTCATACGATCGGGTATGAAACAAAGCACTTCTTTTGAAGCTCCCATCCTATGCTTCCCGATAAAATGGGCGATGGGATCACTAGTCTTCTTACTAATCAGAGCAACACGCTCGTAGTAGATGGTGCATGCTCTGATTACAAGCCCGTTAACGCTGGTGTTTCACAAGGCTGCATGTCATTACCAACGCTGTTTATTCTGCTTATCAATAACGTGTCGTAAAATGGAAACATTCATCAAGTATCGGATTGGGGGCGACTTAATCTAGTCCAATTTAATTTTTAGGAGACAAAATTTGTACATTAATCGCTAAAAAGAACCCGTTTGTCGTATCTTTTCAGTTTGAATGCACTTCCCTTGCTGGCTTAGCTAGCATCGGAATCCTCAGCGTCGACATGTCGAATACTGTGCAGTTTCGTGGTCACATGGAGGGGAAGGGAAAATTGGTCTTGGTATTTAGCTTCAGCCGCCAAATTTTACGAACGCATATCTCGTCAAAATTCACGATATCATCCTCACCATCTGGATGCTTGGCAGTCCATCATTGTGCGTTTAACTAGAAGTTTTCTTCCTCGTTCAACTTTTCTGTGGAACTGTTTACCACTGGCGATTTTTCCGGACCAATACGACTTAGGAATCTTCAAGAAAAGAGCTTACTCCTTTCTAAAGAGCTGGCAACGCACCTGCAATTCCACGGGTGTTGCGGCTGTTCATGAGCGGCGGTAGTCACTTACCATCAGGTAAGCCGCATGCTTGTTTTCCCCCCTCTTCTATAAAAAAAAATCAATGTTCGGCTTGCATAGAAGAGACAAGGTCATGAATCTAAAATTTTCTTTAAAAGTTTTTGATGAACGTTCGACTTTCGAGTGACGTGCAGTTTCGTGGTCACTAGGAATAGAAGGCCAAATTGGCCTCTAAAAAGCTTGGCGTGATCAGCAGAGCGGGACAGTACTTCATGCCGCCATACCGCTTGCAACTTTACAAGGCGCAGGTTCGGCCGCATATGGAATACTGTACCAATCTCTGGGCTGGGGCGCCCCAGTGCCAGTTCCTTCCACTTGACCGCATCCAACGCAGAGTGGCTCAAATCGTCGATGACCGGGTACTTTCTAATTGGCTCGATTCCTTGGCGCTTGCAAGAGATGTTGTATCTCTTTGCGTATTTTATCGCATCTATCATGGGGAGTGCTCTGAGGAATTGTTCGGATTAATCCTATCCGCCAAATTTCATGGACGCACTTCGTAGCTAACCTCCCGATACCATCCACACCATCTGGATGCTGGCGGTCAACCACTGTAGGTTTTACAAGGAATTTTCTTCCGCGTACGACCTCTCTGTGGAATACGGCGATTTTTCCGGACCGATACGACCTGAGGACCTTCAGGAAAAGAGCTTACTCCTTTCTAAAGGGCCGGATACGCACCCCGGTTCCCCGGTGTTGCGGATGTTAATAGGCGGCGGAGGACACTTAACATCAGGTGAACCGTATGCTCCTTTGCCCCCTCTTCTATAAAAAAACCTATCTTTCTTCTTCTTTCATCATCATCATCATCTTTAGATGCGTCACTATTAAATCGTTACACAGTACGACGCGTATTTTACAGCTGCCTAAAGACGCGTAAAAACTTTCCTATTACGCTTAACAAAAGGAATAAGATTATTTTAAGGTCTTGAAATTAGGCCACTGTTACAAATAAAAGGCACTAATATTATAAATTACGGCTTCAACTAAAAAACTTAAAGCGATTTGGCAAATTTGTATTATGCGGTTTCGTTCCACTCAACGCTGCACAATGCTTAATTAATTAAAACCAAGAAATGTTCATAATCTTATGTTTAATTAGTTTACATACTCCGTCACAGAGTAATTGAGTTACAAGGCTTACTAAGATTGTTAGCTTTCTTCATTTCTTGATGAAGATTGTTTGGCATTTATGAATGAAAAACAGAATAAATTTTACCATTGATTTCCACTGCATATGTTTTTTTATATTTGAGTTTGTTCATTTCGCCTTTTACGACTTTCTAAGAATAAAATTTCGTAAAGTACTCTCTAATGACAACATCATGTAGTATGACACACAACTTATTATTTTGGTATTTATGTTATTAAGTCTTGAAAATATTATACAGGCGTAATCTATACTATATCTAAACTCTAAAAGAGCAATTTCTATACATCGTTTTTTTTAATGTGAATTATATAAAAATTTCAAAACAATAATTTTCGAAAAGGTTGTCTAACTGTCTGTCTTTCTGAATGCCCATCACTCAAAAAGCGGAGTTCGTGGAACAGCACAGTTTTATCTTATGCTCGAAACGTTAATTTAACATGATTAAACTTTAGCAGAGTTATATAATCGTTACCTAACCTAACCGTATTATATATACGCACTGTATTATATTACACGGTTATATATTTAAATCTCCTACATCTAGATCTTATTGTTTGCGACGAGGGTGAAGGATTCGTGGTGCAATGGCTTAAAATGAGTGGTGCTCAGGGCCGCTGGTTCGAACCCCGCAATTAACAAGTATTAGTATGGCGTACAAATAATTGTTTCGGGTCCGAATGTTTCTCCTTGTAATTTTTTTGTTCCACTATACAGGAGAAAGTCTTAGTGTAGAGGTAACAATTTTAATAAAAATAATACAGAATAAATAATTGTCTAAACATCTCGTTTATAAAATAAACTAAATATAAAACCAGTATACGTCCCACTACTGGTCACAGATCTTCTCTAATTTCTAAAATGGTTATGGCTATGGAATTAATAGTTTTAGTGCTGCTCCGGTACGTGATGGCGGACTTTGCTTATTCTTTTAAATTTCATAAAAAATATGAAAAAAGTCCTTGAAATATTTTTTTATTCAGACATTTCTGCCCTCACCCCACATCCTTTTCTTTTAGTTGAAACTAACAAGTTTATCGATGCTGATGAGGATCGAACCGGATTGCTAGCTCGTATAAAGGCTAAGTAAGAATAGAATATTTTTATTCAATACATATTCCAAGTAATTTTTATTGAAAATCATCAAAAAATGAAACTTTAGGAAGGAAATAAAATATAACATTTTATCTATACGTCAATAAAATAAAATGCCTGTCTGTAATATCGAAATAATTATGTTTTGTTAAGCTCCTAGGATTATTCTCAAGCTATAAAGACACAAGCACCAACTTTAAAAATTGTCTGTGCTTATTTTTTTCTGTATGGCTGCTAATATTCGTAATAGTTGAACTATATTTTATCTGAAATACTTGTTTCTTTTAAACATAAAATCCTGATTAAACACATAATTAAACACTATGATTATCAGAAATCAAAATAACGCCACATTAATAGATCCTATCCAGATGAAGCAACCGGGGCTGGTAGCTAGTTCTAAATAAAATAAATAACTTTCAAAGTGTAGTATTTCAAAGTGTTCATGTTTATAACCTGGATAAAATTTCAAGCAACAGATCATGAAATAAGAAAATTGAAAAAGAATATTAATACTGCTAAATAAATCAGAGTAACGGCTTAAACTACTCTGCAATACCTAATGAATTAATAGTCTACCGTTTCGGTGTTGTCCATAGAACACTCGTTACAAGCCGCTGTGTAAAGGCACTGAAGAGATTCAAATAATACAGCAATGAAACAGGCCATTTATATTCCCGGTGTTTTCATTCAATAAAAAGTAAAACGTTTTCAACTCAAGCGTAGTACAAACATAAATACATACGTTTATATATTTTTTTGTCAAACTGAAGTGAAAATCGTACATGCAGTCCACCTGATTGTAAGTGGCTACATGCAGTCAATTGACATCTCCAATGAACGTCAAATAAAGAAGCCTACGGATGTGTTGTCACTTCTGTGGACTAATAATATAAAGCTTCACAGCCTGCAATTACTGATTCTCTATATCCTATAAACGGAAACACAGCAGTGCACGCATTGCTTTGTGAAAAGTAAGAAGGTAAAAGGGTGGTACCTACCCAGACTCCGAGGCGAATTAGAATTCTTACCAGCTGATAGCCATTTACCCTATTGCTGCCCTGTGTATCATATAACAACATTTCGAAAGGAATTGTTAAACCGAGTGGTGGCGGTGTAAGATAAGAAATGCAAGGATAAATTGTATAGTTTCCGATAGAAGGCAATATACAAACTAATA